TTTGTGACGGTGGTTTTCTGAGTTGAGCCTATTTTACAATAACTTTTATGGCCACTTCTAATTTACATATAGTAGTCACACCTACTTGTGGGTTAGCATGAGGCTTTCCAAAACAGGTATGTCATGTGCAGTGATCGGAACCACAGTGTGCCTATTCTTGCGTAAAGCATCTCAAGAGTAGGCTGAGACTGAGCTTATCTTTGTCCCTTTCTAATGACTGAGACTAATAGGGATTGAATGGTGAGACCCTCTCCCCATAACTTATGTTGAAATCTAACCCCAGGGAACCAGCAGTTAGCGTAATGGCTATGTCGCTGGACTCCCACGTAGTCGACTGTGGTTCACGTCCCGGACCCGGTAGCTTAAAACTCATGCCAGGGGCGTGTGCGTGCGTGCCCAAGATCCCGAGAGGAGAATGGAGGAGAAGGGATTGCGGCATGACCATCCCCCCTGGGGGGGGGATTTCTCGCTTTCTGTCTCTCTCTCTCTCTCTCTGTCTGGCGAGCGCACGCGCCCTATAGCGAAAAACCGCTCCAAAAAAAAAAAGAAAGAAATCTAACCCTAAAGTAACAGTACTGGGGGTGGTGCAGACACTGAAGGTGATTAGGTCATGAGGACAGTGTCCTCACAGAGGAGATTATGAGAGGCCTGAAAAAGCTCCCTCACCCCTTCTCACATGAGCACACAGCAAGAAGGCAGCTGTCCCTGAACCAGGAAGCCGACTCTCAGCAGACCCCAAATCTGTCCTGCCAGTGCCTGATCTGGGTCCTCCCAGCCTGTAGAGCTGGGACAAATACAGTTCTAGATTACAAGCCACTGAGGCTATGGTGCTTCTGTCTCAGCAGCCCAGACAGCTCAGAGGTGGGTCGTGAGCAGGTGAAGCCCTGGCCCACAGGAGTGTGTGATAAAGGCAAGAACCAGAGTGGAGCTTAGGACCTGCAGTCTCATGGCCACTGGCTCGGACTCAGCCATCAGGGCTGTGACCTGCCACGCAGGTTCACACATCGTCGGCTCGCTCGTGGCGAAGCATCTCCACAGGTAGAAATGGAAACCTACCACACAATTAACCACAGCCTCTGGGGCAGCCAGGTGGATGTGTAGGTGCTTCACCTTGGGCAACTGACCTTTTCTGGGCTTTGGCTTCCTCATTCATGAAGTAACAATAGCTCCTTCCTACCACTGTGGTCATCGCGAGGCATTAATGAGAAAATACAGGTAAAGTGCTTAGCACAGCTGTCTGGGAAACAGTCAGGTCTCGGTCTCGCCAGCTGCCATTGCTAGTGTCTAGTATTAAAGTTTTCCTCAGAACTGACATCTCTCCTTGAACTCTCTCTGGGATCGGTGGGACTTGCAGCAACACGGAGCGGCGACTCCTGGGATATTGTGATGATGAGAGTGTAGGGGAGGCGGGCAGAGTCCTCCCTCACCACCTCTTGGAGGGATGGTTGCTGAGGCCTTGGGAGAGAATTCAGCAGAGCTCAGGCCCCTCGAGGCTACAGTGCTGCAAGCATGTGGCCGTTACTTCGAGCTTGATGGCGCATTCTTACAGAGCAGTTGCCAAGGAACGAGGTAATCTTGTGACAAAAATACTGCCTGCCGCTGTCCATTTGCGGGTCGAAAGGGATTTGGGTGGTGTCAAGCAGTCCCGGTCTCCATGAAATAACCGTATGAGAAGACAGGCTATGTGAAAGGACCTAACTGCGGACCCAGACGGGCACTGCGCAAAAGTCACTTCGCTCCCAATGAACTGGATTACAAGGAAAGTAACACCAAGACCACACACTTGATTTGATGGATAGCCTGTCATCAGCGAGATGACATTTGCAGATTAGCTGATTTCTTGGGAAATCCTGGGTGTGGCCTCATCACTAGCTACTGTGACCTCGGATGCAAAGGGAATTACCACGCATAAGCATGTGAGCACAGAGCCGGGGCCAGGGCCAGCTGTCTCCCTTCCTCAGGCCTAGCTGTTTGAAGGCACTACTCACATAGGTATATTCCAACAGGCCGCTGCACCAGGGCTTTCCGAGGGAGTGACAGGAGAGGGCAGGAGAGAGGACTGTTCTTTTAAAATGAGTGTGTGATAAAGGAGTGAACTGCGATCTAACAATCCAGTGATTTCTACACACGACATCAAGCGACTCTGGTTAGTAAGCTCTGCTGCTTCTGTGAGCAGTGGAGGAACTATGATGGCCGCTTAGCATTCTATCCCATTGAGTCGGTAAGAATTCCTCATGACATGGAAGTAGAGGATATTTTTCTTTCTTTCTTTCTTTTTTTTTGAGAGGTTTTTGCTATAGGGTGCATGTACTCGCCAGACAGACAGAGACAGAGAGACAGAAAGTGAGAAATCGCCCCCCAGGGGGGATGGTCATGCCGCAATCCCTTCTCCTCCATTCTCCTCTTGGGATCTTGGGCAAGCACGCACATGCGCCCGGCGTGAGTTTTAAGCCACCGGGTCTGGGACGGGAACCGCGGTCGACTACGTGGGAGTCCAGCGACATAGCCATTACGCTGCTGGTCCCGGAAGTAGAGGGTCTTAAAAAAGGTCTTCTGTGATCATATGACTTAACTTTTTTTTTATATGTCATAAAATTTGATGAATTTAATTCACATGAGCATGAGTTGAACACAAACTGTATCTTGACAATGACAAGGTATTCCTCAAATAAAATCAGAGGATCTTAGGACAAACTTTACATTAGCCAAGGCCAAAAACTTTTCATGGAGACATTTAAAATTATAATCAAAGTAAAAAATATAGGTGCAAATTTGGTCTTCCAAAACTTGACAATCGGCCAAAAGATGCAGTCAGCTACAACCCACTTTAGAAAACACTGTTTAGGGTTCTTTTTCCCCTTTACTTGTCAAAAGGCACACACACTCACTAGAGAGAGACAGAGGGAAGGGGCGCCTCCCAAGCCACAATCCCTTCTCCATTTCTCCACTCTGTCAAGATTTGGAGCATACACATGTACACACATGCCCAGCATGTTTTTCAAGCCACCAGTACTGGGATTTGAACCATGGTCAGCTACATGGGACCCAGCTCCTTTAACCACTATGTTGTGAAAAAACTGTTTTGAAATCCTAGCGGCCAGCTCTGGGTAGCCACCCTCAGTAACTCAGGGATGGTGGGGAAGTGTTGAAGGAGACTGAAGGTCCTGGGAGAATCTGTATGTTGTTGAGGGTCATTTCTGCTGTAGTCTCAGTCAGGAGTCCAAGTCACCCTTTGGGGTGGGAAGCCAAGTCTTGCCACATCTTGCCACTGCATTCCAACCCTCTGACCCATGGAGATGGACAGAGTAAGTGGCCGTCCCCACCAACATTGCAGGTTTGGGAGTCCACCCCTCACCCTCCCAAGGGAAAGGCTTTTTTATTTTTCCTTTCTTTTGTGTTGGGAAGGGCTTTCTTTAAGCAGGTAGAGACTATATCCAAGCCATCCCCTCTAGCTTTCTTGGTTACTCTTCCAGTTGTAGTGAGAACTCATGTACCAAGTTCATTGTTTCTTCTACCCAGAGGGCTAGTACTCTAGAGAGCAAAAGTTAAGCATGAGAGAGTTCCCAAACCACTTTGTTTGCCTAGGCAGTCTGGGATGTGAACATCACATGCTTTAGTGCCAGGTTTGCAAGTGTTTGAGTGGTTTATAAAGACAGTGGGGTGGAGAATTTAAAGTCAAAGGTGGGGACCAGCAGGTGGCGTAATGGTGACGTTGCTGGACTCCCACAAAGTCAACTGTAGTTCAAGTCCCGGACCTAGCAGCTTAAAACTCACACTGGGCACGTGTGCATGTGTGCCCATGATTTCAAGAGGAGAATGGAGGAGAAGGCACTGCAGCATGGCCATCCCCCTTAGGGGGTGATTTCTTGCTTGCTGTCTCTGTTTCTTTGGCATGAGCATGCACCTTATAGCCAAAATCTCTCTAAAATATAAATACATAAATAAATAAAGTCAAAGGTGTCCTTAAAAACCCACTTGGGATGACTGGTGAACTGGTGGATCCTGCAGATGGTCACCAAGCCAAACAAGGCGGCTATGTCTGATACCATCAGTCCCCTGCGTGTACACCTCAGTACACCAAACACTGGAAGCCCTTGCCATCCCCAGGAAGAACCACCCTTTGGCAGGATCTGAATTCGTTTTCTGAAGATTTAAAAGCTGAGAAACTAGTGAAGAATATAAATTTCAAGGTTAGGCAAGTTTGGCCACCTAACTCCCATCACAGGTAAAGCCTTTAGTCCTTCCGACAAGGCCAGAGAGGCATCAACCAGGAGGCTGGCTTCACCTTTCAGGCAGCTGCCTGGCCACAGTAAGCACTTTCCCCAGCTTATTACAGAAATCTCTCTAGCAAGATGGACAATTCAGCTTCCAATAGGTCTGACAGGGAAGCCAAGTAACACGCAGAACAGGTGGCTGGCGGCCTCTAGTGGTCACTGACAGTCAAAGTTCACATCTGATACTTAACTCACTATGCAGAAGGAAACTGCAGATTTCCACCAACGTAACAATTGTCATGAGAACACAAAGAAATTAGGAAGAAAAAAAATGTTTGTAACTACATCTTTAGTATTTTATCAAAGAATATCCTGAGGTACTAAATGGTTGACCTAAAACAAAAATAATTTACACATTTTCAGACCAGCAGTTAGCATAATGGCTATGTCGTTGGACTCCCATGTAGTCGACCGCAGTTCGAGTCCCGGACCCGGTGGCTTAAACTCATGCTGGGTGCATATGCGTGCGTGCCCAAGATCCCGAGAGGAGAATGGAGGAGAAGGGATTGCGGCGTGGCCAACCCCCTGGGGGGTGATTTCTCGCTTTCTGTCTCTCTGTCTCTGTCTGTCTGGCACGCGCACGCGCCCTATAGCAAAAAAACCTCTCCCCCCCAAAAAAAAAAATTTACACATTTTCTTCTGAAGATGTACTTTTTAAGTTGTAAAATTCTGAATAACCATCATTTAAAATTTTCAAATTTAAAAGAAAACAAGGAAGACAAGAAATTTCAACATCTTGTATAGAAATTGGCAGGTAGCCTTTTATCATCAGAACTATGTTGTCTAAGAGAAAGTTGAGCTACTATTTTTGAAAGCTTCATCGACTGGAGAACTTCATCTTGGCCTCCACTTTATATCTTTTACTCCATGGAAATGTCTTTTTAAAGCAGTGTTATCTGCCCATGGGGAGTTTAAGCAGGAGTCATCATCGTTTTCTTCCAATTTCTGGAAATAAATATGTTCTACTTAGAAAGGTATTTCAGGAGAGTGTTCTGCACATACAGAGACTGAAGAATCCACGGCCCGCCTCCCCACTCTCTGTATTCCTAGAAGCAGGACACTTCCCCAGTACGATGCTGGGGGCCACCAGGCCCTGGAGAAGCGGACACAGAGGAAGACCTGCCTTATCTCCCTTGTCCTGTAGTAACCCCCACCCCCTCACCTGCTCCAGTACCCTGCGCACCAGGGCACCAGACAGACAGCCCGTCTGTCGCCCATACCTTGAGTTCCTCTTGTCTTCTGTGATAATACAGCATCAGCTGCTTCTGCTCCTCACTGCTAATGATAGGTTCTCGGGCTGGAGCACCTTGTCCCCTCTGAAAAGATTATGGCAAGGGCAGATTATGGATTAAGGCATCCTTCCAATGACAACCCAGGAGGTTCCAGCGAATGCTTGACAACTGCCTCTGTCAGTTGCTATAGGGACAGGCCACTCTAGCCTGAAGATCCAAAGTGAGATATCAAGGCAAGTCCTGGTCCCTGCAGCACCCGAGCTCTGGACTCTGAGTGTGGATGGATGCCAGAGACAGCCCCTCAGGTCTACTGGGGCAGGGAGGACAGTCGGAGTCCCCTAAGCCCTGTGGGTGGGTTTTGGTGGAGGGCTCTGCTCCCCCACCTCAGTGCCATGACTGAGGAGCACCCAGAAACCAGCGCTGTCTTGTGGGGGCAGCTCTAAGGACATCGAAGGCCTCACGCCTTCCCATTTGCAGAGCGCCAGCACTTAGAAAACCCTGAAATCCATGCTCTGTGTTTCCATTTCAAGAAACACTTTTATTTCCTTGTAGTTCTATTTTTTTAAGGCATCTTCCTCCCTCACACAAATTAAAACAAACTCCAGATACTGCCAATCGATCCACAGTCTGTTCTATTTTTGTCGGTGGATATAAAGAGGGTATTTTTAATTTAAGCCTAGGCCAATGGGATTAAAATATTTGCACAAATTACAGATTTACTGTAAATTTTCCTTGGTTTGAAGGTAACAAAACATATTGGCGTTTTAAAGCCAAAGTACTTACTTGCTGAATCTTGACGATGATCTTGGTTTTCTCATTCTTCCCCACGTAGTCCGAGAGCGTCTTGGTTCTCCTCAGCTCCTTGGCTGCCCACCACAGCTGTGCCTCCGAGTCCTTAATGACACTGAGTGCTGCCTGGGCCAGTCCCGGAAACCAGCTCTAAGGGGTTGCTCAGGACCAGCCACAGCTGTGGTCCCAGCTCAGGGGCTGGGAGGTGGTACTGCCCCCCAGTGCAGGAGGGACTTGGGCACCCTGCCCCCCTGCTGCTTCTCCCTGGAAGCCCTGATTCCCCCACTGCACTTACCATCCTCTCTTGAGATTAGCACCTTCCCTGCTAAAGTTCAGCTCACGCCCTGACTCAGTGAGCTGCTTGCTCTGGGATTTGGGGAATATCCTGTCTCCTCTGCATCTCTACATCATATAGGGTCCCTCCTTAGGCAGTCTGTAGGCTACTGCCAGGGAAGAACATTGGAGTCCTGCTGGGTTTTTAAACAAAAGCATAGGGGTTGTTTGCTTTTGCATATCCCCTCTAGTTAAGGTGGCTTAGAGAAATACACAGGGTCCAAAAGGGTAAGACTAAATGGAAAAATCAAAGGAAAGCAGAATACAAGGGTTAGAAAATAACATGAAGGGGTAAGGCTGGAATACGAGACTCCATGCGGGAATCCAACACATTTGGGTAGAAAAGGCACAGAGTAGATTTTTGGACTCTCAGGGGCCGAAAAAAACGGAAGTGCCTTTAGCTACTCCTGTTCGGTCATGGCACAAACTTTCTCTCCAGAGTGTGTGAGCAAAGCCCTCCCATGGTCCCACACTCAAAGGGTCCCTCCTGAATCCAGAACCCTATTCTGAAACATGGGCTGGCAAAGAGAGAAGCAGAGTGGAGGTCAACAAGAAGTCAAACCTGGAGGGCTTCTGCCCTTGGTGGGGACACGAACTCACCTTCCCAAGTACCCAAGAACCACATACCTGAGTTCCTGACAAGTCTTCCTTATTTTCAAATTCCATCCGGATGGGATCGTACGGTGGTAACCCCATCGGGTAAACAATCATCACAGCACCTCGAAGCTGGTCCAGAGCATCTTTCACCATCTCCATAGTAACACAGACACCAGCTTCCACGTGTTTCTGAAAGTGGTCGGGCTCTGTTATCTACAAGTGGCTAATGAAGTCAATAAAAATTGGCAAGACACTTGCCAGGGCAATAAAAAGAAATCGAACACTTCTTGTTCCCAGGAGACTACCGCTTGTTTCAGGGTACAAGCCAAGCGCGCTGAGGCCTCCATCACAAAGAGGAGGTTGAGTAGCACTGAGAGGAGCACATTGACAGCAAAGGATGTCAAAGGGGAACGAACCCATATCCAGCAGCATGGAGGTAGCGAGGGTTAGGCGACACTGCGGAGGAAGACATGACCTCAGGTGGGCCCTCAAACATAGGGACTGAAAGGTGAGGATGGGAGTAGGGTGCTCCAGGACAAATAGAAGCAAAGGAAAGCAGGTATTATCAACTTGGCTTGGGAAAGAAAGAAGAGAGAGCTGGAGGGCGGGGCGTCGCGAACGCCAGGCTGACAGGCTGCACTGCTAGGCAATGGGCAGCAACCAGCTTTCCTGGAAAGGCGTGGCAGTGCTGGGAGCTTAACCCCACAGTGGACATAAAATGGACAGAGTTGGAGGAGGACCAGTTAGCAGGCGCTGAATAGTACAGAGGGAAGGTGTGATGAAATCTTCAGCTTCTGGCACAGGATGTGTGAACCCACTGAAATTTCCTAGTGACAGGAACATCTTCTGTTATTCTTAACAAGCCCCTTTTCACCATAACTGAGTCTGTGCTAATGAGGTAGCCAGAGTCACTTAGATAGTTTAAAAGTGGCTAGTCCTGCCCATGTGATCAGAGGGTTGGGTTTTTCAGCCTCATTCCCACACCCCAACCCCCAGGGAGGCGGGATGCTATGGACTGAGTGCAGTCACATGGCCAGTCATGTAATCAATCATGCCTATGTAACAAAATCTTGATTAAAATTCTGGATCTCAAGGCTAGCAGAACTCCACTAAGGTGTAGTGTGACCACAATCCCAAAAGGAGAGGCCAGGAGTTCTGCCCCTCTCCCCCTACCCCTTACCCCATGTAGCTCTTCCATTTGGCTATTTCTGAGTTGCATCCTTTATAATAAAACGGTAATCCTAAGTACAGCGTTGAGTCATTCTAGCAATTACTAACCTTGAAGGGGGGGGGTCTAGGGAGCCCCACATTTGTGCCAAGTCAGACACAAGTGTGGGTGGCCTGGGGCGCCAACTTGCAGCTGGTGTCTAAAGTAAGGGGAGCCTTGCAATGAAATTGCCTTTAACTTGCGCCATCTGTTGCTAACTGCAGGCAGCCTGTGTCAGAACGGAAGAACTTGGCCCTTAACGTGTGGGGTCTATGCTAACTCTGGGTAGTCAGTGTCAGAACTGAAGTGAATTGTACAATGTCTAGTTGGTGTTGGAATGAAGGGAGACCTTTAAATAAAGTGGTAGCTGTGGCAGTGAAAGGAGGAGCTGGCTCTAAGAGGCATCCCGGCGTGGACAGTCCCTCACTGAACGTAAGGCATGTGAGTGACAGAGAAGGAAGTGCTGAAGATGATACAGGATCACGGCCTATACAACGGACACACTGGCGGTTCGGCCGAGACAAACAGAAAAGCTTACAGGATGTGCTCTAATATTAGAGTAGAGAGGGAAAGGAGTGAGAAAACTTGAGCTTAAAGTGGTGGCTGGACATTCGGGTAGAACCATCTGGGAACAAGCTGCAAATTCAGGTTGCAAAGTAAAAAAGATACCAGAGTTGATAGCTACCTGCCAAGGGGTGGAATGTACCTTTGGCAGAATAGATAAAATTCCGAGGGGGATGAGGGCCAAGGATAAGGTGCTGTGGTAAACACACAAGCAAAGGGAAGAAGTGACACAAGTGAGAAGAAAGATTTCTATAGAAGAAAATGCACAGAACAACGTCCAGACCACGCAGTGTTCTCCCCACTTTCGGAGAGATGCTAATATGTCTACATGTTAGTAGTTATTACTATTACTTTTTTTTTTTTTTAAGGCTCTGTTATCAAAGGCATCTTGCAAACATCGAAATGTTAATCAAGAATCTATAGAGCTACTCTATGGCCATGATATTCAAGTTTGTCCTGGTTAGCTTTCCTAAATTCTTCAAAAACATAAAAGAAACAAAATCTATATGCACCAACTCATATTTGTATTCTATATGAGCCTATATTTACACAAGTCAACAAAAATATGTGTCTGCCCAGAGGAACTGGGACAATTCAGGACAATTTGGGACAACTATCATAATAAGATAGAGAAAAACTAGGGCCTACCCAACCATGCTTTTTCCTCTGTCTCTGGAAGGCTAAAAGAAAGAAAACAAACAAAAAAAAAAAAGAGAGAAGAGAAGAGAAAGCAACTCCACAGATAACTCTGGAAGTCATAATGGAGTTCGTAGTTCAAAACACAAACTTTAGAGCAACATTTTAAAAAAGCTAGTAGGACCATGGCAGAGTGCAAACATACTGCTCTAAAGAAGCCAGATCCCACATGCGACTGCAGTTCAAATCCCAGCCTGGCTGGCCTAAAACCAGGGGAGGCACTTGCAGACGAGCCCAAGAGTCAATGGACTGGAGGACTGGAAGAAGGGGACCGCAGTGTGACCAGACCTCGTAAACGGTGCTTTCTCTCTTGTTCTCACGTGTGTGAATAAGAAAAACGTTTTAAAACAAACCTTAGATATTATTGCTTTGGCTTCTTCTATAGTCTTCTTTAACACTTGCTTCATTTTTTCATTTGGAGCTACAACAAAGGAGAGAAGGAGAAACATAGCAATCAAACATATGGCCGCCTTCTGACTCTTCTTAAATTCCCTAATCCCTCTTCCGTGTGAGTCAGAGAGTAAATGCAATGAGAGATCGTCTAGAGAATAGAACTAAAGTGAGAGATCGAGACCTGGCTGTGGGAAATTAGGTGGAGGTTTCAGCTGATGGCAGAGGCCTGGAGCGTGCTGTATGCAAAGTGGTGAAGGTTACAAAGGATGAGAATATATGTCACCAATAAAAACTTCTTTACAGGGACCAGCAGTTGGCATAATGGCTTTGTTGCTGGATTCCCATGTAGTCAACCTTGGTTCAAGTCCGGGACCCGGTGGCTTAAACTCATGCTGGGCGTGTGTGTGTGCATGGCCAAGACCCCGAGAGGAGAATGGAGAAGGAATTGTGGTGTGGCTATCCCCCCCTGGGGGGTTATTTCTCACTTTCTGTCTCTCTGTCTCTTTCTGTCTTTCTGGCAAGTGCACATGCCCTATAGCAAAAACCTCTCAAAAAAAAAAAAAAAAAAACACAACTTCTTTACGAAAACAGGCAACTGCCTGAGTTTGGTGTGTGGCCCATCATTTGCCAACCCTCTAGATAAAAAAGAATACTTGAAAAGTTTAGAAGCAAACACGATGAAGATCAAATCTAGGTAAGATAGGGCAAATTCAACTGTATAGTCTTAATAAATAACAGTATTAACAAGACATTGAAAATATTAGAAATATAAAGTTGTATTAGAGTAAAAATGGTTAATTTAAGACCATATTGGTTCAATGATGAATAATAAACTGTTAACTGGTTTTTATGAGATACTATTTATTGATGTAATTTATTGCTTTTGAAAAGGAAAGAAAATGGGACCAGCAGGTGGCATGGTGATTTAAGTGCTGGACACTCCTACATGGCTGACCACAGTTTGAATCCCAGACCTGGTGGCTTACTTTCTCACTTTCTCTCTCCTTTTTAGATCAAATTAAAACAAATGAATAAATAAATAAAATTAAGTAAATAATTCTTTAAAAAAATGAAAGGAAAGGATTTCTCTTGAGAATAAGTTTAAGTATGAAAAGATGTGGGAGATAATAGCTATTTTCAGGTTCAAATTCAAATAATACTAGGAATTCCTATTATCATCAAAATTAAAAATAACAAAATAAAAATCTGAGCTTATAAAGGCCTTGCAGGGACACTATTTTGTATTTTGTTTGCCCTTAACAGTGTTTTAGGGACACAGCCATACTCAGGTACTTGTTTTTTGTTTTGTTTTTTAAAGAGTTTTTTGCCTTAGGGCTCAAGTGCTTGCTGGAGAGAGAGAGAGTGAAAGAGAGAGACAATCAGACAGTGAGAGGGAAAGTGAGAAATAGCCCCCTAGTGATGTCCCTTTGATGTCCCTTCTCCTCCATCCTCCTCCTGGGATCCTGGGATCCTGGGCATGCACACATACATGCACCCGTGCCTGGGGTGAGTTTCAAGTCATCAGGTAAGGAACTCAAACTGCAGTCAGCCAAGTGGGAGTCCAGTGACATAACCACTCTGCCACCTGCTGGCCCCTCAAGTTCTTGTTAAATGATCAATTATAGGTTTTTTATGCAAGTTAAAAAGGATAAGCTATGGGAATTTTATCCTTTTTTCCTCCCAATGCCTTATGATCAACCCTATACTGAAAGAACTCTCTCTGTTCCACTCCATCCCAAAGGGCGTGGCACAGAGAGGCATGTACTGGAGAGAGCCAGTGCCGGCAAGCTCATCCCTGTTTCACACACAGTCGTTAAAGAAACCCCACCTCTACCACCATGATAAAACATAACCTTCAAGACATTTTCAATGAGTATCTGCTGAAAACCATTAGGTCAGATCGTAGGAAACTGCGAATACTCTGCCATCATTGGCCTACAGAAATGGAAGTGTCATATGGGTCACCTAATATACTGAAAAGCTAGCTGCACCTAGTAAGAGCAAGAAGATAGAGCAAGCTTCCTTCATCTGCCTAATTCATTCTGGATCAGAGTATTACATAAGAGTTGTGGAGAGCAGGATTTCATAAGCATGTATTAAAATGTTAATGTCAATTTTTAAATTTAAAGAACTACTTCCATACTCGGTATAGTGAGGTGTGCACATAGAACAGAAATGCTTGATTACCTTGCCCATTCCTTCGTCCGATATCATCTTTTTTAAATACTGAACCCCCACTGGGTATACATTTTTCACCCCATTCATCCTTTAATTTCAGTTCTTCAATCTGCTCATCAGTTAGGCCTTGCATATTAGGAGGGAGAAATATTCCATGTTCTGCTAATTCTTCCATTTCTGAAAAATAAAGGAAAGTTAAATAATATGCTTCCCAGTTATCATAATGCCTTATACTCCACTGGAATGTAAGCTACCAAGAGTAAGGGAACTTGCCCACCTAGCTCACTATTCACATTTTTAAAGTGTGAATGAGAGAGAGAGAGACTGCCAGACAAAGACAGACACAGCACCCCAATGTGGCCTTCACCTGTGATCCCCCCAGCTTCAGCTGGCCTGGGTCATGGGCACACATGGACCTGCTGCACTCAGGGAAGTTTCAGGAGTTGAACTGGTAACCTTCCTATGTGAATTTCCTGCAAAGCATTGTGTTTTACCATTGGGCCACAACCTGTTCCACCTCCACTCACTGTTTTACTTAATAAATGGTTACATACCACTTGCTATATTTGCTATATACCTTGACTCTTTTTTTTTTTGGAGAGGTTTCTTTTTTGGTATAAGGCGCATGAGCTCGCCAGACAGACAAAGAGAGACAGAGAGACAGAAAGTGAGAAATCACCCCCCAGGGGGGATGGCCACGCCACAATCCCTTCTCCTCCATTCTCCTCTCAGGATCTTGGGCACACACGCACATGCGCCCAGTGTGAGTTTAAGCCACCAGATCCGGGACGTGAACTGTGGTCAACTACATGGGAGTCCAGAGACGTAGCCATTACGCTAACTGCTGGTCCCTACACCTTGACTCTTGACAAGCAGTCACTGATTGTTTTCTCAGTCAACTGAAGAACAGCACATGGAGACCTGCCCTGGTCCTAGGCAGTTTAGCAGGAGATTCTGTGTTCTAATCCTTTGTGTTGATACTCAGGAGATACAAAGTTAATACTGAAAGCCTGAGCACATATTCACACAGGGCTCTGCGGTTTGCCAAGAGCCTTCCCACAGATGATGTCTTTTGGTTTAACCTTGTGAAGGGGGAAGACAGTCATCACCATCCCTGTCTTCCCTAATTCATGACTGTATCATCTAAGATGAGAGTTAATACATTTTTTTTGAGAGGTTTTTGCTATAGGGCACATGCACCTGCCAGAAAGACAGAGACAGACAGAGAGACAGAAAGCGAGAAATCCCCCCGCCCCCCCTAGGGGAGATGGCCATGCGGCAATCCCTTCTCCTCCATTCTCCTCTTGGGATCTTGGGCACACACGCACATGCACCCAGCGTGAGTTTAAGCCACCAGGTCTGGGACTCGAACCGCAGTCGACTACATGGGAATCCAGCAATATAGCCATTACACTAACTGCTGGTCCCGATAGTTAATACTTTATATAAAACATTCGACACATCATAAATAATTTGTGTAAGTAAGTGGGAAGGATTTGAGGAAACTTACACCCCTCACAAAGGAGAGACAGGACAGGGCCTTGGTTTTCTAGTGTTGAGTTTACTGTTTAAATGCATGGCTCTGTATCTTTCCTAATCTAAATGTATCTGCCCCTAGTCAATCCACATTCTAACCTTGCAAAACTGGGTCCCTGCTTTCCTTCCTGAAAAGAAGACCGTGGAACTAGGTGCTCCCATAGCACTGTGTGAAGACTACGTGTCGTGTACATACATGACGTGGAACATATGGTGTAACGTTTACTGTCTCTCTCCTATGGCTGACTTTAAGCAGCTGCAGCACAGGGCCGGGGGTGGGTGGTGGGTGGTGAGAAGCTGGTCTTATCCATGCTAAGGTGGAGCACTGGTGTCTGCCTGAGACAGTTGCCATTGGTGACTGTAGAAAAAAAATCAATGAATTCTAAAGTCAGGAATATAACTCAACATTCAGAACCACATTCTCAACTTATATTACAGAAAAATAAGTTGAGTTCCTTGACTCCTTAAAAATTTTTTTTTTTGAGAGTTTTTTTGCTATTGGGCACATGAGCTTGTTAGAGAGACTGAACAGTGAGAAATCACCCCGAGGGGATGGCCACATTGCAATCTCTTCTCTCCGGATCCAGAGCCTGCATGCTCACGCACCCAGCATGAATTTCAAGATGGTGGGTCCCTGACTCAAACTGCAGTCAATCATGTGGGAGTCCAGCTCCTTAACCACTACTCTACTTATTTAATATTGAGCTTATTTTGGGAGCAGTAAGTTTAACTAGGAAACTATACACAGGCCAAGTCCTGGAGGCCAGCAGGAACTGGCTCTCTGGGGCACTTCACATGTAGCAGAACCATGGTGGTCCCAGGGGCCTCGCCATAGGTTGCAGTGTCAGGATGGTGGAATGGGAGCCACATGGGAGCAGCATGGTGAGACCCTGTCAGAGGTACCTCTCTCTCTCACTCTCATAAAGGAAATATAATTTTTCAAAAGAAAAAGAAACCATGAGAGTACTTCAAAAAGTGGAAAAACCAAAATAAAGTAGTTCATTTTGGTGCAAATATTTTTTTGAAATCCACACATAAATTTTTCATAATATATACTTTCCATAGGCTTTTTGAAGACCTCTTGTACATATGCTCCATGAAGAGACCATAACTCTAAAGAAGTTATCTACAGTGCAATTATCACATATTTACATGGGCAAGCCTGATTGTAGTGGTTAAGCTCTGTGCTTTGGGAGCCGGATCCCACATAGCTGAACTGGGTTTGAATTGTGACTCTAGTTTGGTAACCATGCCAGCCCTGTATGCTCATGCACCCCCAGAATACTGATGGGAGGGAGAAATGGAGGAAAAAGGACCGCAGCCTGACCATGTCCCCTTAGGGAATGTTTTCCCTCTCTGTCTCTCCCTCTCTCCTTCTCTGGCATGTGCGTGCATTCTCTTGCAACAAAACAAAATCACATATTTATGTAATTTAATAAGCCACGTAAACCCATGTACTATGCATTATGTGTATTTATATAAAGTTAGAGAAACACTCAAGACCGTGCTAGACCACATCTGGAGCATCATGAAGTCAAGTTCTAGAGCTGTGCTGTTTAATGGCAGCTACTAGCCGTGACTATTTCAATTTCAAATGATTAAAATGAAAGCACATTAAAAATTCAGTTCCTTGGTCACACTGCCCACTGGCGGCCAACACAAGCCGGGCGGTTTCCATGGCTGCGGAAAGTTAACAGGGCAGGATGGTCTGGCGACTACTCAGAGGGCGATCACGACCTGGGACGAAAAAGACGCCCAGGCTTTCCACGGATTTCCCCAAAGCCAGGTGGCTTACCCCGGGACTGCTTTACCTCGGGAGTGCTCAAATACGAAATCCCCTCTCCAAGCCCAACCCGACACCTGTCAGGTTCGCTGGAGGGGCCCTTCAGCCCGCTCTCTGTCTCTGGCGCATTTCCACTTTTCACTCAGGGCCCCCCAGTCCCTGGCTCCGAGACGCCTGGACACACGAGGCGTCACCCGCTGTGCTTTCCGGCTCTTTCTTCATCTTGGTCAACCCTGGTGTCCCGTTCCCGGCCCGGTTGCTCGGTTACTGCTGATTTTCCCAATCTTCACAGCTTGATCCCAACCCCGGCCGGGCCCGGCCTGCCCCAAGAAGTCTCGTGGGGCCCGCCGACCTCCATCACCGAGGGCCGTTCTTCCACCCCTCCACGCCCGCGCCCGCCAGGCCGCACCTGAGCAG